GTTCTGCATTGCTTCCCTGCTGCACTTTAAAATGCCCCTAAGGTGGTCTTTTTGCTAAGCCTGATAGATGATGGATGGATAGATAGGTATAGATGATAGATAGATGATAGATAGATAGATAGATAGACAGATAAATTATATAGATGATATGTAGACAGACAGAGATATTCATATACTCACTTAATTCACCTCCACTCAACTGATAAAGCAAATATAAGTAAAATTTTCTGTCATTTAAAGAAATAAAGCTTACACAGAATGATCTGTCTAAGGTTCTAATAAGCATAAACAATAAAGGCTTCATTTGATCTCCCACCTGCTTGATTCTAGACCCTGTGGAGTGAGCACTGAACTGAACCACTTCAAGTTCTAAGGGGCCCAAGACAGAGACCACAGCCTAAGTCTAGATAGGCTCTGAAGTACTTGCTGAACTCTGAGGATCAGTTAACCAACACATTTTGCATTGGTAATATAACCATGGGTAATGTTATCCCAGAGAGTCTAACTTGTAACAAAGACAGGACCCAATGTCTGTAGTTTTTAATCAGCTGTTACTAATTTTTGATTATTAAGAAAGGATCTCGAACAAGCTGAAACACAGTTCATATGGTTACTCATACTTCACAAGCACAAACACCCGAGCTTGACATCCAACACCTGTGTAAAAAGTTCTGTACTGGGAGCACCTATAATCCCAATGCTGGGAGGCAGAAAACCAGAAGATCTGGGGCTTTCAGGCAAGCCAGCCTAGCCCACTTGGCAAGCTCCATGCTCAGTTGAAGATGCTGTCTCAAGTGAGAGGTTACCCAACATCAACCTTTGGTGTCCACACCTGTACACACTCACACAAGCCCATGTACATATATGCACATACAAAAACACATGCACACTTGGGCACACACACATGCACATGCTCACATGCACAGGCACACACACACACACACACACACACACACAAAGAAAGGAACTCACACCGTGGTCTAATAATCAAAGTTACATGAAGAATTACAATTACAATAGTAAGATATTGAGAGTTACAGAAGGGACACAAATAAAAGGGATTTCATCATGTGTAGAACAAAAACATTATTTTCTGAGTTCTATTCCCTAAAATACAGCAGAGGTCATCTGATATGCTGACCACCATAATCACACTGGCACACTTATTAAATCCCCACGTTGTAAGAAATCAATAAGAAATTAGAAGGCTCCAAGCAGGTTTCTAGGCAATCTGATGTGGGGATTTGGGAATTGTTTTGTTTGCTCTTTATTTTCCATTTTGAGTTCAGTTTGGGAAAATCACATGGTTTAATCTAATGTACACTTTCCCTTGGCTTGAAATACCCTAGATGGCAGAGTCTGTTGCAGTGTGCATACCCAGAGCACACAATGATTAACACAAATGGCTAAGATTTAGCACTTGCCATCTAAAAGGTAATTATTTTTGCTGAGATCCATAACAAATGAGCATTGCATGGTTATAACTTAGAAAGAACTCAGATTCACACTTTTGAACAAACTAACCTCCCCAAGCCTAATAGCTTTTTAGTAGCAAATTGATAGAGATAGTAGTAAGCCCATTTCACAATTTATAAAATTAAACTGAGAAGCTGAGCTTGTTTTCAATGCAGATCCCAGTGCCCCCCTCTGGAGCATCCTAGCAAAGGCTGTTTGGGCTTCCTTATAAAGATATGATGATAGCTATGATCGATGAGTTAGCTTTGAGCTAAGAGGAGGTAGAGTACATGCTGAAAAGAACATTCTCCAATGTCGGGATACCTCTGAAAGGCACCTGATTTTCAAAGGCATCCTTTGTGGCTGTGAAATTGTGCTTTCTTCTTCATTATTCTCTAACAACAATGCCATAAACTGAGAGGTTAGGAGCACAGCAGCTATTTGGGCAGGTCTCAAACGAGGTAGCTTTCAGACTACATGAGAGAAGTAGGTCCATGTGCCAGCAGCCAGTGAAGCATTCAGTGTCTGTTTTGAAGCAATGGGTTCACTGGAAAATACACCTGAACCTACTTTCCACCTGCTTAATGAGAAAACGACACACACACACACACACACACACACACACACATCCCTCTGCCACAGAGCTAGAGCTCCCAGCCCCCGAGAACATGTGCAAGGTACATAGAGAAACCTGGACACAGTTGTGCCAAGCCAGATCAGCCTCAGGACTCATCACACATGGGATAGACTTGGCTTCATTATATCCAGATGGCCTGGGGAAGGGTGTTAATCTACAAAGGCCAAAAAATTGTCACAGCCATTCTGTGTCCATAAAATCAACTTACAGCCACTGCACAGATGAGAGGAGTGTGAGATTCCTAGGACTGAGGCCCATCATGCACCCAACATAGCTTGAAACCTCTATAATAAAATTAGTTCAGCTCTTTGAGCCTCAGTTTCCCCCCCCCCTGCCTGCTTATAGAATGTTGACCATACTAGCCACTAACTGAGTACTAAGGAAAAAGGAAATACAGTAAAGTTGGGTTCTCAATATATTACATAGAGCCTGGCAGGAATTGGTAGAGGATCAATTCTTGGGTTTTTATAGTAAACTGGAGAATTTAGCATTCTAGAAGCACATACCCTAGCAAAGTGCAGCAAGGGTCATGTGGCAATTCACATGGTCATGTAGCAGTTGACAACCGGGATTTTCTAGACAGGTCAGCTTTTAATAGAGAATAGCCATCCAAGATGTCTAGTCTTAAATTATCTTTAAACTCATCTTCACTCAGTTATAAGTCATAGTTATATGTAAGTAGCTCTCAGGCTGCACAAGAAAAGAAGGTCCATGTGTCAACAGCAAGCCAGACATTCAATGATTCAGTATCTGTTTTGAGGTTGTGTGCTCACTGGAAAATTCACCTAGAGTTTCCACTTGCTTAATGAGGAAAAAAAAAAAAAAGACACATTCACACCTGCCACAGAGATGAGAGCTCCCAGCCCCTGAGAACAAGCACAAGATACACAGACAAACCTGGGTATGGTTCTGCCTAGCCAGATCAGCCTTAGGACTCTGTGTGTGTGTGTGTGTGTGTGTGTGTGTGTGTGTGTGTGTGTGTGTGTGTATAGTTTTATGTATGGTTATAGCAAGTTTTGCTGAACTTTATGTCAGGTTTTTTTTTTTTGCAAAGATATAAAATGTGAAATGGTTCAGGTGGTGAAGGTGTTTTTCCACCAAACCTGATGACCCATGCTTAATTCTCGGAACCCACATGGTAGAAAAAGATAACTGACTCCTGAAAAGTTGTTCTCTGACCTTCTGACCTCCACACACATGCTATGGTGTATACATACATACATACATACATACATACATACATACATGCATACATACAATGTAATTTTGTAAAGAAAGAAAATGGCACAAATGAATCCATCCTTTGTTGTCTTATTTCTTTCCCTTCCCTCCATCCCCTCTGGGAGACGAGAATATGTCTTTATGATATAATTGTCTTCAGTTCTTTTGCAAGTATGATTACATGAATAATGTGTCATGTGAGTATTCTTATGACATTCTATCCTACTCAATGGATTACTTTGCAGGTTCATTTTGTCATCTAACATTATGTTGATGAGATTTATGTTGAAGCATATTAGAGCCCACTAAGATAAAATTGTTGTATATCATTTTGTTGTTTGATTCTACTATAACTTATCCATTCCTCTAGATGTGGGAAGTTAGGTGTTTCCTACAGTTCCAGTTTTTAAAAAAAATATGCTACAATGAACATATTTATTAATCCCAGTTCCAGGATGTATCCCTAACAACATATTACTGAGTAGGTAGTGTTTCTTTGTTGTCAGTGGGTGTTCCTAATTTTTTTTTTTTTTTTTTGCAATTTAATTGTACCTGTGCTCATTCCCACTGATCTTAAGGTGCATGTCCTTAATATCCTTAAAATACATTAGCATTTTTATCTGTTTTTCATGTTTGCCTGGCTACAATGGGAAGAGTATCAGAAGAGTAATCCAAAGATTCCTGCTATCCTGTAGGAGAAATAGAGCCCGGTTTTGCAGCTAAGTCATATGGTTCATTTAAAACCATTTCCTACCTTGATATGTCAACATGTGGTATTTATATTTATAAAGACAAATGACTTCTAGTAAGTGCCCTTTGTTAAGAAGTCCCAGGTGATTGAGACAGAGAAGTCCAAGAACCACATTCAGATGAAGAGTCAAAGCCAAATCTCAGCCCCTGTGGCTTTGGATGACAATGGGGCTGGATGGTGAGGTCCTATGCGCCCCTCACACTCTCAGCTCTATAAACAGCCAGAATGACCGAGGCCCAGAAACTGTATAATACATGGTATAATTCATTTGAATGGCTCCTGTCTCTCCATGGAGGTCTCAGGTGATACATTTTGCACTTCCAGATGTGAATTGGGAGGTTCAGTTTTGAGAAACTCTGCTGGGCTTGATATAAAAGAGAATGGCCTTAACAAAGCCCTACCTACTGCTCTTTGGTGCTAAGGGCATCACAAGCATCCATCACCATTCCTGGCAGTCCTGGCAGCATGCGAGGACGAAGGCACCCATCACTGCAAAAAAATCCTTTCTAACTTCTGCTGTTGCCCCAAACCATACATAGACAGGGCTGCTCATCCGTTTAAGAGATAATGTGGGTGCTGAGGAAGTAGGCACTTATAGGTGAAAACATCATAACTTATACAGACAATAGTGTGGGACCACTCATAGAACACAGCCCTTGCCTGTCTCTTTCTCATTTCTTTTCAAGCCTGACTTTCTGAGAACTGCCCAGTGATGGAGGTCTTACCCCCATAGCAACTGGTCCTCACTGTTGCTCCTCCTTTGTGTCTTGCAGAAGTCATTGCAGCACCTTCCCCAGATCTGACTGGAGGTGCTGATAGCAAGGAACCCATGAACTTGGATTCCCAGCCTTACAAAGCTGTCATTAGCAACAATTGCTATCATTAGTGGTGACCTGCCAGTGCCCTGGGTCATGACTAATTTGTTCTCACCTCCAGGTACCAGCAGTGCTGAAGTGAAGGAAAACCGAAATGTGAGCAACCTGGGGACTAGGCCTCTGCCCCCTGGAGACTGGGCCAGAGGCAGCACGCCCAGCATTAAAAGGAAAAGGCCCCTGGAGGAAGGAAATGTGGGGCATTTCTGCAAACTCCAGCTGATCTGGAAGAAGCTTTCCTGGTCTATGACACCCAAGAATGCGCTGGTCCAGCTGCATGAGCTGAAGCCCGGTCTTCAGTACCGGATGGTGTCACAGACTGGCCCTGTTCACGCCCCGGTCTTCGCAGTGGCTGTAGAAGTGAACGGACTCACATTTGAAGGCACAGGCCCCACTAAGAAGAAAGCCAAGATGCGGGCAGCAGAGATGGCTCTGAAATCCTTCGTGCAGTTCCCCAATGCATTCCAGGCCCACCTAGCCATGGGCACTAGTACCAGTTCATGTACTGACTTCACCTCTGACCAGGCCGACTTCCCAGACACTTTGTTCAAGGAGTTTGAACCATCCTCAAGAAATGAGGACTTCCCAGGCTGTCGTCCCGTCGACACTGAGTTTCTGTCCTCTGCCTACCGGCGAGGACGGCTTCTTTACCACACACTGGACCTCATGGGCCAGGCTCTGCCTGATAGGTCCAGGCTGACCCCTGGGGCCCTGGGTGAGAGGAACCCTGTAGTGGTGCTGAATGAGTTACGTTCAGGCCTGCGGTATGTGTGCCTCTCAGAAACAGCCGAGAAGCCCCGAGTCAAGAGTTTTGTCATGGCTGTGTGCGTGGACGGGAGGACGTTCGAAGGCTCTGGACGCAGCAAGAAGCTGGCCAAGGGCCAAGCAGCACAAGCTGCCTTGCAGGCCCTCTTCGACATCCGGCTGCCTGGCCACATGCCCAGCAGGAGTAAAAGCAACCTCTTGCCACAGGTGAGACTTCTCGGGTAGCAGCCTGTCAGGTGAAAGATAGGTGTGGGTGTGCGTTGGGATATTCTTGCTGTGATGGGAGAGTGGGCCTGTCCTTCCCACCCCCCAGGGTGAGGGAGTCTGTGAGCAGAGTATGGTGAAACAATGGCCTTCCTGAAAAGACCCCTTTCCTAAGCACACACAGAGAGAAATTGCTGGGGTTTGTGGACAGAGAATCGTGGGAATGTTAAGAAAGCAAAGAAATCATCGACACAGCAACTGAACAGAAGTAATAATAGAATTCATAAAACTAGGCAACTTTCACAATGATGGAATCAACCACTAGGGAGGAAAGACAATCAGGGTCACAGCAAACAAATGGAGCCAGCAGAGGGCAGGGTATTCTGTCCCCCATCAAGAGCCCGGGACTTCAGGGGGCAGAATTCATTTGCCAGGCCCTCCAGCGACTCAGAAAGTAAAGAACCAAGAAGAAAGAAGTGTGTTGGTTGGGGGCCTGTGCTGAGTTCCTAGTTAAGTACTCTGAACAAACCAAGACAGAGATTATCTCATTTGGAGTGGCCAGGACCTCTAAAGTTGTGGTTTCCAACTAGGTAGAAATTTCCCCAGTAAGACACTAGCCACAGATCAAGAGTCATAGGAAGAAAGACTTGATGGAAGATAGAGAAGTTAGGAATGAGAATTATGGGACTGTGGATATGACTCAGTTGGTCTAGTGCTTGCCCCACACTGTGTGAACCAGGAATGGTGGTGCACATCTGTAATCCCTGCACTGGGGAGGTAGAGACAAGAGGATAAAGAGTTCGAGGTTATCTTCAGCTACCTAGCAAGTTCAAGGTCAGCCTGGCATGTATGAAATGGAAAGGAAGGAAAAAAGGGAGGAAGGAGAGAGAGAGAGAGAGAGAGAGAGAGAGAGAGAGAGAGAGAGAGAGAGAGAGAAAGGAAAGCTAAAAGGAAGAAAGGATCTCTCCCAACACAATGGTGGGTCTGCTTTCATTTTTTTTTTCTTTCTTGATGATACTGGGGTTCAAACCCATAGCCACTTACAAATTAGACAAGTGGTCCATGTGAGCTATACCCCCAGCCCTGTGGGTATACTTTATTAAGGAAGTTACCTTTACTTGTTTAAGGTACCTTTGTAGCACTGCCTGTGACAAGAACTATTCTCACACCACTTAAGACAACCTTATTCTGCCAAGTTCTATAATTGCTTATTTATGCAAATTATCTTTTCTCTTATCACTTTGAAACTTATTTGTAGGTCTGTCTAATGTAGTCGATACAGAAAATTATTTTTATTCATTCTGCACATCAATCAAGGAAACACTTTACATAGTTAAAAGGCACTTAGCCCTGTGTGGGATTCATCATAAGTACTTAATTACTATGAGTTATTGCTGTGATCGCCACCATCATGACATCACAGCACCTGGAATAGAATACCTTATTTTGCCTTGAGACATCAAGAATCCATGAAGAATTCAGGGTACCATCAAAACCCCAGATACTGCTCAGGGATATATGTAGAGCCACAAAGAGCACAAAGGGATTTTTCACCTTGAATAATAAATGTATAGAGCATTCCTTTATTCACTCACTCATATTTATTTGACTCTAAGCAGGAATGGGATAGATGCCACAACAGATGTTCTTTGTGTATGTGCATATGTGTGTGTTTGCAGCATATGCATGTGTATGTGTTTGGGTGTGTACATGTATGTGTGGGTGTGCACACACGAGTATGTGCATGCATACAGAGGCATGTCAGAGATCAATGTGGTGTGTTTCCTCAATTACTTGCCACCTTGTATCTTTATGTTTAGTTTTAATTATGTGTATGTGTATGTGCTGTGTAAATGACTGCAGTGTAGTTGTGAGCCACATGATATGGGTTCTGGGAACTAATGAAGGTCTCTGCAATAGTAGTATGCTCTTAGCTGCTGAGCCATCTCTCCAGTTCCTCGACCTTATTGTTTGATACAGAGTCTCTCAATGAACCTGAAGCTCAGCAATTTGATGAGACTTGCTGCCCAGCATGCCCCAGTGATCCATCTGTCTCTACCTCACTAAGGCTTAGATTATAAGTGCATGTTACCATTCCCTGTTTTTATGGAGATGCTGATAATTCTAGCTTTGGTCTTCATCCTTGCAGAAAGTGCACTTTATTGACTGAGCCATATTCCCAGCCATAAGATGTCCTAATTTTCACAAATCTTGGGTGAGGGAAAAGATAAACTACATGAGTCCCAGTTGAGGGATGATGGTTTTTCCTGCTCTACATACCTCCTATTCAGTTCCTTCACCTCAATCATTTATTGCAATGCAATAATCACTTTAAGGAGTAGGTAGACCATAAACTTCATAAGCCTTGCCTTTCAGCTTATGCTCAAATAAATTAATAACCCCAGTGAAAACAGTGTGCTGGAGAAAGAAACAGGGACACTTTTTCTAGATCCACACCTGTGCACTTACTAGCAAGAAACTCTATGCCTTGCTTCATCTCTTTCCTATGCCTCTGTTCATTTATTTTTCTGACTTCTTCCCACTCTACCTCTCTGCTACCCAGGAATCAAACTTGCAGAAAAGCCATGGAAGCACCCTCCTCTCTACTGCCCCTACTCAGGCTGGGCAGAAGAATAAGCCCCTTCTGAGACAACCCATGCCCTTTGGCACTAGCTTGATCAGCACATCTCTCTTGCCTCCTTATTTGAGAAGGCCCCATCAGTGATTGTAGGCATGCCCCTATTACTGTTTCACTCTGTTGCGGAGTGATACCATTTTGCAGGAAGGCTGGAGCTACCCACAAGGCTCCCAGACAGGCCTGGGATTATCTATTTAGTTAGACATCCACCCCATCTCTCTCTTCTGCTTCCTACTGGGTGAAATTGAAGGACGTCAGTGAGTTCTGGGTGTGATGCCTCCTTCTTTCATGTTGTCAACTCTGAGCTGTCACGATGGAGAAGCCAGGCAGCGCTACTACTTTGTAATAGTCATTTGACCCCAGAATGCAGCACATCTGTTAAAGCCATGGATGCTAAATTATTTTTCTCTGACAGTCTGCTAACCACTCCGACTGGATGATGAAGGGCATGGAGCAGCTCGAGGGCTGTGGGCCATTCATCACACCACAGCAGTAGAGCTATGCCAGGGGCTCATTATCCTCTTGCCTCAGCCCCCTTGAAAAGTGCACCCTATAGCTGGGTGGGGGCCAAACATAACAATGGGAATCAGGGCTGATGAAATTTAAAGCCTGTCCTAGACAGGGTCTGAGTTCAGGGGAGAATATATAAAAATAAACAACTTTGTTTACCACAAATGCTATTCTATCTTCCTACTTAGCCTAAACCCTTTCCTTCTAGGAACTGTGTTATCTCAGAACTATTGGTAATACATCATGGGGCTTCTGTCTATAGACCACAGAAGTCCTAGCTATGGACTATGGAACCCTTGTCTACATGTCATGCAAACCTCTGTTTCTAGATCCTGAGTGCCTCTTTCATAGATCGTAGATACTCCATCTATACATATCTTAGAAACTCTATGCACAAATATTAGACCCTTTTCTATATAGACCCCACCTATATTTCAAAGCCTTTCATCTATAGATCATGAAACTTCAAGAAAACTGTATCTGTGAAATGCAGAATTCCCTGTGTATAGACCATGCCCCCATCTGTAGATCAGAGAACATTTCATATACACATCATAATACCTGATCAAGACACCATGGCACCTTTATCTATACTTTGTATACTACAGCCTATTCACCACGGACCACTCATCTAACTATCAGGGAAACTTCCCATAAATACTCTGTGCCCTCATCTAAGGAGGATAGAATCCTTCCATTATACATGATAAATTTCCCTCCTTGACTATAATATACATCATGAACACCACACCCTCATTCTTCTATGATGTTCAAGTAAACATTTGGTCCCAAAGACACCAGGACTCTAGAGTTTCAGGTTTTTAGATGTATCTTTTTGCAATCTTTGACTATTCTGCTACCACTGTCATGGTACAACAAACCAAAAATCACAAAACCATTGCGTGGGCTGTCAGAACAGGGCACTTTCCATCTCTCCTGAGCAAGGACAATTCTTCCAGATTTTGCTTTGAGAACCTTGTAGCATTCATTACTTATACCAGTATTTAATGTTGTCTGCCCAAATTCCCATGTTCTTCCCCACACAAGACAAATTTGTGGGATGGCAAAGACACACATGTTATCCCATAGAAGATAACTAGATGTAGTTTGTTCAATGCTTTAACCAAAGACTAGAATTACAAACAAGGTTTTAAGCCATCCTAGTAGGAATTCTCTTAATTATGTGATAGGCTTTGAAACAAATACTTCATGTGTGCCAGTGCTTAAGAATATCAGGAAACAGTGTTTAAGATTCAGCTGTTGAGGCAGGAAAGATACCTTGTTTAGTAAAGTGATTGTCATTCAAGCAAGAAAACTTGAATCTACTTCCAGAACCCATTTAACAAGAATGTCATGTTGGTGTGCCCTTGTATTCCTAGAGCTCAAGAATCACAGACAAATGTATCCCTGGATTTGCTGACCAGCCAGCTTAACTAAATCAGTGAGCTCCTAGCCAAAAAAAAAAAAAAAAGCGCTGTCTCCAGAAATAACCAGGAAGAAGTCCTGAGGAATATCACCTGAAGTTGACCTCTGCTGTCTACATGTATCACACACACACACACACACACACACACACACACACAGCAGCAGCAGCAGCACAGCTGAGAATCTGTTTGTTTTTGTTTTTACTTTTTATTAATTCTTTGTGTCTTTCACGACATACATTTTCGATCCCATTCATTTCCAGCCCCTGCATATCCACCCTATATCCTTGCAACCCTCTCCCTCACCCTGATAAAATTCAAAAGAAAAAGGGAGGGGTAATCCCATCATGGAAGCTGTAGTGTGACATAGTGAGTCATGCAGTAAACCCGTTTGTTCATATATCTTTACTTGAAAGTATTCAGTGGTCTGG